TAAAGCTGTCTATTTATTCTACTTTAAGAACTTCTGTAGAACAGTTCAGCATTTCCAGTGTCACTAATAACTGGAGATGGAAAAGTTCTAAAAAGAGAAGCATACATCCCAAAGTGTGAAAATCATCTCCAGAAACCTTACACAGGGACATCAGTGTGACTGATAATCAAAAGCCAGGATGTGCCCTCATATATATATGCTTGACTCTGTAAGGATTTGAGAGGCTTTTTCCTCACATCACTTTCATCATCTCTGCTTCATTGCTTTGTGGTTCAAACAATTTATCATCTGAATTTGAAAACAACAGAAAATACCTGCTGTTTTGCCTTTATCTCATTTGATAAGCATGCAGCATTATCCCAATAGGAGTTTAAGATGATAAAACATCAAATGAGATGTTTTAGAAGGCAGGCAGAAATGGTTATATTGTCATTAACTGACAGCACTCTTGGCTGTTATAATGTATTTGTGCTGTGCCATAAGTCTCAAATGAACAATTTGAGGGTAAATGAATAAAAATTGTATGATAGGTTAGTGGGGTGTTCACGACTCCAGATGTTACAAACTTAGAAACTTTCACTACTTCTGTTAAAATTATTTGTGAAATAGAAACTTGCTGGTTATTTTGGGAGTCTTCTTCCTTCTCTTTGCTGTTAAAGTACAGTTTGTGATGGAGGACATCTGAAAGTATGGCTGTATCTTCACACCTTAGCATGGAGCTCTGTTCAGGTTGTGCTGTCAGTCAGAAGCCAAATAAATCCAGCTGCCAGGGCACTAGCAGGATTCCTGCTGTTTGCAGTAAAACTTCTCCAGGGTTGGATGAGCCAATGTTATGATGCTGACAGCTGGGTGTAGGGCCTTGCTTGTTTAATAGTCATTGCAGAGGACACTTTAAGGTGTTTTGGAAGGGACTGTCACTGCAGTGCATTGCAAAATATTGTCAGAGCCTAGCAAGGTATCTGACCCTGATCAAATACTCCTCTTAAATTAAAAGCTTATTTAGCTATTCTGCTCAGCCTGTTCTTAGGTAGCTTATAATGGAGTTGGACCCTCTTGCTCTGTTTTGAGAATGTCTTATTGAATCATGCATAGAATGATGTGACTAATTTGTAGAACAGAAGTCCCTGTGCATCAGCTGTTCACGGTTGTTTTCCTGAGGGAAAGGTAGAACTTTTATGTTAAAAGACACTGATCATTCTTTCTGGCATATCAAAGAACAAATGTACTGTAGGCTTTTCTATTGAAAAAAATAATAGAAAAAATGGCTTTTATCTGCATTTTCATCGTTACACCTGCATAAATCTCACTGATGCTAATGAGACTTGTAGCAATGTAGATAAAAGCTAGTCGCGCTGTTGAGATGTGGAGTCCAACCAGAACAAGGCACACCACACAAGTAGGAGGCTCCAACCCTGCAGGAACAATCTGCAAGCGTGTGACTCAGCCTGCTTAGAATAAACCATTGGCATGCAAAGCCAAGGTTCTCCAGACTGATGTACCCCATCAATCTGATTATTGCAGTAGCTGTGCAAACTTATTGAGTGCTCAACTATACTGTTGCCCAGATGGATTTCTCCAGTGAAAAATGTTTGGTCTCTGCATCCATTCAGCCATAGGAGCACATATAATGTCTGTGATGGAAGACACACAGGACAAACAAAAATCACCTGGACTCTGTGACTGGGAAGGAGGAGATGGGACTATGAGGGTTGAGGTAGAGCTCTGAATTGTGGGCATCATGGGTGTAAGCTGAAACATGCAGGCTCACCTTGAAGAGTAGGAAGGGGTGAGGGGACAGTACAAAAGGGTCAAAGGGGCAGACCTGTGGGATGCTGTAGAGATTAAGAAAAAAAAAGGAAACCAAGCAAGCAGCAGGTTCTTAAAAGTATATAAAAATATATGGTGAAGGACAACATTAACTGAGAGCAATACAGTTAGTCCTCACAGCTGATCACAAATGGTAATGTTGTCACTGTGAGCAGAGGAGGAAGGAAGTTTTGTGGATGGACCCTAGGACAGAGGCAGTAACTGGGGCGGTCTGATACAGAAACACAGAATCACTTATTTCAGCGTTGACAAGGCCAATAAATCATGCAATTAGCTTCATTCCTTGATAGTTTCTGAGAGTACAGTTTGAGTTCTGCCCAAGTTCTATCCATGGACACTTGAAATCTGTAGACCAAAAGCAGCAGACACACTGCCACCAGCAATTGTTTTGACCTAGGTGAAAATAGGAGGGATTTTAATTTTTTATCTTTTAGTTCGCTATTTAAAATAGTATGTGTTGACCTCTTTATTAGTGTAACATACAGATTGAATGTTCAAAGGAAAGAATAAGACTAAGAACTTATTATGGAAGAGAAATAGGGTAAGGAATGGTTTTGATCAACCCTTGCCTAGGATTCCACCTGTAAACATGCAGTTCTTGCACCTCTCTTGCTAGCCAAGCTTAAGAAGTGCAACACAACCCTTTAACACACAAGTCAGAAAGATGTGTTTTCTGTAAGGTGACGTGGCTCCTGCTGTCTTCAGAGTAGTACTGTCGTACAGTCTCTTTATGTTTGCCAGCGTTTTCTTTCCTGAAAAAAAGAGCATGCTTGTGACATGTGCTTCTGAAAAGGCACTGTGTTGTCATCTGATGTATTTGGATATTCTCAAGTCCACAGAAAAAAATGGCAAGTTATCTTTTCATTGCTGGATAATTCATAGTAAATAGAAAAATAAAAATCTTACCAGTCCTTCCTGCCAAAAGGAAGTCTATAAACAGGACTCCAGTGAGTATGCAGTTAGTCGTCACAGGGATTGAAGAAGTGTAGTTGAAGTGTGAGTAATTCTACTTACTCTTCTACTTACTCTGCCAAGGGTGCAGCAGGAAAGCCTGGAAGGCAGTGGAAGTATCCCTGTTGCTCCAGTAGGACAGTGACCACCCAAGTTAGAGTGATTCAGTAGAACTTTTTTGTAAGCAGATTAGTCCCTTCCTGTGTTGACTGAAGAAGATATAAGGTGATTTACTTACAGGAATATAAGTGCAAGCCTTCAAATAAAAATAACTGCTGTTGACTTTGAAACTGAGCCACCAGCCCTGATGAATTTTTGAAGTCAATTTACGATCATTTAATACTATTTAGAATAGCTGTTAGTGTGTGGCCTTTTTATTTCTGCCAATAAACTTCATAATAGATACTGAAATAGGACTGAAAAGACTGTGAGGACCCTGGAGACACTATTTTTTCAGTGTTGCGTTGTGACATACTCATGATCTTTTTTTCTTTGCTTAACTTTTTTTTGTTTTAATAACTTCCTTATTTAATTTCTGTTCAGTGTGTGTGCTCACTTTAGCGATAGTGTGGTTCATTGTGGAAGTTATTTAATGTTCACTTGTGAATACTACTCCAAGACACCCAGCAGGATTAGTATCTTAGTAGCCACTCAGTTGTCATGCTTCTATGTCAGCTGTAGAACACTAGAGTTATATTGAAAGTACTTAGATAAATCTATTTCCTCAAAATGGCTATGTACTTTCACTTTGTCAAAATACCTGTGTGTTGGCTTTCTTTGCTGCTTAAATGCTGTTCTATCTGTTCCTAACTTCCCCTGTTTAACAGCAGACAAACCCAGGGAGCACTGAATGAATCGGATGATCCCGAAACAGGCTGTCTAACTGATAACAAGCCAACTTCTCGACACTTCTATCCTGTCGCCTTGCTGCTTGTCAGCTCACACTTGCTGGTTGTGTGGCTTATTTTAAGTCTTGCTTTGCTATTAGCCAAATATCAATAAACTCCACTTCTGTTCCTTTATTTTCTACAAACAGCAACAAACTAACCCTAGAAAAAAGGAATTATGTTGTAATATTTCTACAGTCTCAAACCCCAAGGATTCATCTTTAAGATAGCAATGTCTGAATTGTACTGTGCTTTCATTCTTTTTTTCTGAACTCCAAGAAGTATACTATGCATTGAGTGAATTGATTTGCCCTTTCTGTTCATGGTAAAGCTTTCCCACTGTAATTAGCGCAAAGAAAGCCCACTTACAATGCTGTCACTGTATAGAAATTGTGGAATCCTGAATGCTTGAACCCCTCTTTCCAGATTAATTAGTCTGACAAAAAAAAAAAATTAAAAATGAATTTGCACAACACAAACTAAACCCTAGACAAATATGGCCGGGCAATGGTTTGTGAGACTTATCTTTCGATGTGTTTTTTTCATTGTTACTAGCTGATGGGATTGTTTTCATTTAATAAATGATTATTACTTTGCTACAACTAACCCTTTTCTGTAGAGTAACTAAATGGAATAGAATAAGTTCTGTTTTGTAATGAAATCAAGCTGTTTGTAACTGTTGCTTTAGTTGCTTTTGCTTTCAAGACACTTTTATATTCTTTTTAACAAAGTCCTGTTTATGTCTTGACTTTGGCACTTGTGACTTTTGTACTGTATGTGAACGAACACCCTTCCTTTATAAAGCAGAGAGGTGGATTGGGCTGTTTGAAAAGCCATTCTCTCTTTTTTTCATTGCAAAGCTGAACATACAGGAAATGAAGCAGAGATTAAACTTTCCTTCACTAGGTCCAGACTTAATAAAATGCCTTATTCCTAGAATGCGCATTTTAGGGCAATGTATACTCGCACATATATAGCAAACAAATTGAAAAAAATAAAAAGTATTAAAAGGTTTAAAAGGCAAATATATTTCTGGAATTAGGACAAAAGGTATCATTAAAGTATTTAATTTTTTTTTACTGAAATTTAAACCTCAAGGGCAGATATGTTAGGGGGATGGAAAATCTTATCACCTATTTCTGAGGGCAATAACTGTACTGGGCCTGGCCTTGGATTTAATTTTGTAAGATGTATCATCACTCATGGAAAACAAAATGTAGAGTTGAATCTTTGTTATTTTTACTTCAACTGTTGCTGAAACTCTGCAATGAACAAATAAAGCATATTTATTTATTCTGTGTTTCATGAAGTTGTACTTTTTCCCCCTTTCACTAGAGAAGGATGCCGCATAGAGAATGTTCTGAAGAATGTCAAATGCAGAAAGTATGCATTCAACATGATACAGCTGATGGCTTTCCCAAAGTACTACAGACCTCCAGAGGGGACATATGGAAAAGCTGACACCTAAGTTTAACAAAAATGTAATCAGGAGCATACATCATGCTAATAAGTGGATAGAGCAACTGCTGTTTATGACATATGAACTGGGAATGTATAACCAGTGGAGGTGTTATTTTTATCAGGTTTTATCATTTTACATTAAAATGAATCTGGGTAGTCATTATGAAATTAATACCATGAAAAAGCAATGGACTGAATATTCTCAAAATCAAATATATTCAACTTATCTTTGTGAAGTTGAAGCTTAGTATGACTCATAAGCAGGCTGGAATTAGTTTTTGGGGTCATTTGATTGAAGATTAAAAAGGTAAATGGCATTTGCTGTAGGAACAGAGATTAGTAATCTAGAAGGTGGTGTTCTGACTCCAAACCAAACCCTGAGATTTGATTTAAGGGGTCTCACTGCTGGAAAAGGTGTTTTCTGGGCCAGCAGAGCACTGAGGTCTTGATCACTAGTGATTAAACCCTTCACACAAATGTTTATGAAAGATGATAATGTTGCTACCCGGGCTAAATATAATTTTGGTAATTACAATTAGCTTCTTTACATAAGCATGGTGACTTCATAATATGTTTTTAGTAATTGCAGACTGTAATTTCAGTCATTCCATTCTGATACCCTGCAGTTCATTTGGATGTATCACTCTTGGTTTTCTGTACCCTAGCCATATATCACTTACTTTACTTTCACATAAATCACACTGAAATCAGGGAGATTAATTCCACAAGTAAGGTGACCTGAATTTTACCTCCTATTTAGTCTAAACCCTTAAAAATAAATTTTATTTATTGGTTGGAAAAATAAGTTGTATATACAGGAGTTAATGTATCTTTAGACTATGAAAACATGTATGTTATTATAAAGTCTAAAATAAATGTTAAGAGCAAACTGCTGTACTAGAACTAGTTAGCTGCTGCAGCTGATTTATACCAAATTTGTAATGCTGCACGTAGACACTCTAGGATGAGGAACTATCATCTTTAAAAATGAACATAAATGTTCTGCCAGCTTGTGTTAGTCCTGAAATTTGTCTTGCAAAGAACATTTGTGTTTTCTAATTGTATCTATTTATTACCTTCTTCTGCCTCCCAGAGAGAAATACAATTTAACACTCCCAAGTATTCACTGGTTACTGACCTTTATGTAATGCATTCTTTTCATACCTAGAGCAGAAGTATGAGAAATTTATCCTAATGAAACTACCCTGGGAATTTGAGCATCTTTAGGAAATTGTAATTGCCATGGATAAAGAAGTAAATGTTTGCTTACTCCTATGGAAGTCAAAGAAATCTCTATGCACCATGAGTTGTAATTTGTTCTTTTAAATCCATTAATGTCCATTACTGGGTATAACTCTGTAACTATAATGGAATATTAGAGCCTGATTCTGCAAATTCTATTTGGGTGATCCCATGGAACTGATATATCATCTGACTAAAATTAGATCCATTTTGTATGGCTGATCATCTTGTATGTAAGATCAGGCTTTGGTGTTTGTAGGAAAATATCAGAAAGAGATCCTTGTTCTAATATTCATTGACTTCAGTGGAGCCAGAAATTCACCTATAAAATATATTAATTAATTGTAACCTTTTGTTCAAAGAAAAGTAGGTAATGTAAATAGTGTTTTAGTGCATTAGTTTTTTATTTCTATTATATAATGTGCTATCATTAATTGCATCCTTGTTTTTGGAATGTATCCAGTAGATGTCAGAAGAGTTGGCAATGCATCATAGACAAGCTCAGACTGATGAGAACGTAATACCTTGGTTTCTTCTTGTCATGTACCAGTAGAAGTGGACAATACTCACTGGGTGGCTGGACATGTGCATAAATTAGTGTTTAGGTCTATGAATATAATGTAGGTGATCTATATGAAACTTTTTTGTGGATTTATGGAACGTAATCCTTCATAGAAAAGGCATGCTTCCTTCTGTCAGGCTGCTGCACTAGCCCTGAGTATATACATGTTTATTATTAGCTTAAAAAGCTCTGCATGTGCAGTTTCCTCCTGGATCTCTGAAATTCCTCATGGATCTTTGAAATAACCCCCAGGTATGCAGTAGAGAATGTCAACCATTGTAGAGCATTATGAAACTATCTGTAAAAATCTCAGTGGGGATGGTGTTCCCTGCTGGGTGCTATAGGTACCTAGACTTCTTTATGAGTCCCTTTCACATTCTGTCAAGTTAAAAATATGAAATTATCTAGATTTTCTTGTCAGGAAAATAGTCTTTCAAGATTTTGCCTCAGCATTTTAATCCTACCTGGGCTCTAAATTGTCATTGTCACTACTGTGTTATTTTTGTGTTGTTTTTCACATTGAAGCCATGGATTTGAGGAGGAAAAAGAAAAAATGGCACTGGATTATGGTCCTTTTTTGTTTTAGCAGCCATTCACAGTATGTTCTTGTGAAATTAAATAATCTCTTATTTACTAAAGATAATTAAGACAAAACCCCAAACACATCAGTGGGCTGCAGTGAAGCTTCACTGTGCTTGGGCTGTTACAGAAGAGTTGGCTGGGTTTTGTGCTAAATAAGACTAAGTTTTTCTCACTAATTTTTGGACTGGAACATCTTGTTGTAGGTCAGGAGAGCTTTGTAAAACCTGCTGAAGTGCTCCAAGTCTCCTGGAAAAGCCTCGTTGCTTCAGTACCAAAACAGGCCCAAATATTTTGTTTGATCCACTGCCTGCTGGGAGATACTGTGGTCCCTGTGGGAAAAGGCTGTGCCACCAGCTGAGTTGTCAGCTGACCATGGATTCAAAGTCCATGGGCTTTCTGGTTTGCCTTTTATGAAGAAGCAAAGAGGTGTTTGCTGCAGGTTGATGATTGCATTATTTGAAGTACATTTACCCTTTGTAGCAACTGCTTCCAGCCCTGTGGGTTGTTTGGATGCCTAACAGAGGAGTTAAATCATCCCTGGGGTCTTGCACATGATCTTGTAGCTCACTGTGGCTATCAGAGGAGTAAAACTAAAGAGCTTAAGTTTTATAAGCAAACTACATTGTTTGTTTTGTAGAGGGATAAGGTAAGCATAGTGATTTTGGTAGTGGCTCCACAAAAACTGTTCCATACCTGCTCTCTTAAAACTTTAGCAAGGTATAAAATAATCTGCTTTTAAGGGAAGACAGTTCTTGAGGGCTAAAAGATGAAACTTCAAAAATACATCTGTCATCTAAAGCCAAGTCTTGTCTTACAGAAGATATTATTTGTAGAAATCAAATCAGGATCTGTCTTGAGGAGTCCCAAAATAAGGGCTTCTAGCTTTCAGTATTTGTACAATGCATCTCACACACTTACATGGGGGTTTTGTAACTACACAGAGTAGCGTCTAAATAGAGAGCTAGTGTAAAATACCTAAGAAAATAAGGAAAGGAATATTAAAGTAATTTTTTCCCAGAAATTTTATAATATTGTTATAATACATAACGCATAACATGACTATATGACATTAAGCAGGCAGGTCTTTTTTTCTTTTCTTGTCTTTTGAGGAATTTAAAATATATTCTGTTTAATGTTTTTACTTTGGCTTTTATGGAGAAATTAGGAAACAAAAAATTTTAATTATGTTATCTGATTTTTGTCTATGTGAAGCTGTGTATTTTGATGGAATCCTAGTAATGTCTGTGTTATAAAGAAAAAATAATTTAGGAGGACAACTGAAACAAAATATTAACTAAGAAGTAGCCTTAATGAAGTCCTTTGCAATGTTAATTTTTGTACTGTCTGAATTTTGCCATTACATAAGTGAAATGAGAAAATTAACAAACAGCTTTGTGTCTAAATCAATCTTTCCTGATGAAATTTCACTTAGTTGCAGTGGAATGAATTGTAATTGCATTCTAAATCTTCACTAGTAATTTGGGTATAAAGAAGTGAAACACTTCATTTTGAACCCTACTCTATAATGTCTATTAAAAGTTTCAGGGAAAACTTATTTTTATTTCTAGATTAAACACAATTTCCAAGAAATGCTATAATCCATTTTTAAAAAAGCAGAAAATGCACTGAACCTCAACCAGTGTAATAAAGAAAGCAACTGCACTGAAAACTATGCAGCAAATTTACTTGCGTGAATTAATGTATGTAATTGGTTAACAGTCTTAAACGTATATTGTGTCAGTTGGTTATGTTGTAAACTTGAAACCATTTATATCTATATTTATGCTCTATTTTATTATAAAGAAGTGTACTGTATAGGGAATGCCATGAGACATGAATTTGCATCTTGCTTTACCTTGCAGCTTAAAAGCAGATGTTTACAATGAAAATGCTTTAAAGTAATTTGCTGCTCTTGAAAACATAAACCTACCTTGTATGTTGCATGTTTACAAAAAAATAAATAATACAAATGCTTTTTTAGAGAGAAAAAAACAACTTACAGACTTCAGTCCTTAAAACATCGCTTTTTTCCCTTAGTCATGCAACACCTCACCTGTTTTGTTGCCAAGAATTCGGCCTGCACTCTGAAGGATTCAAACATTTATTTCCTCTTTCTTCCATAGCATTTGCTGAATAAGAAATATAACAACCATGACTATCAGCATGATACTCATGATCCAAGGTTAAAAAATTAGGATAAATTAACTATAAGACACTTGTGAACCAGTGTCTCCCTGTTCCAAAGACCTGAAACCTAAGGCACAGGATTTGTGTGCTGTGCTGACTGGGAAAATAGTTACAGTAGGAGTCTAACTATGATAAAAGAATGCCCTGGACATGCCAGGTTTGGAGTGGTGAGATTTGAACCACACTGCTCTTAGATCTCTAACTGTTGGCAGTGGTGTTTGGTTACTCTTTCCATGCATGCAAAATGCTTTAGACGTTTTCATCACTTCTGTTTATAAATGGTCTGACTTTAAAACTTCTAAAATCCCAAATTACTTTAGTACTTGTTTTCCTTTTGTGCAGCTGTCCCTTTCGATGTTCCCATCTTGCATTCTCAAGTACACAGGACTGTGTATAAGTAACGTTAATAGGACTTCAGTCCACAGCATGTGTTT